TGCTGACGGTGCCATGCACCACTCGCCAAGGAGCTACCATTCCCTTCTGTCATCTCACATTCTTCTGGGAACGTCGTGGACTCTGTGACCTCCCGGGCTTCAGTCTCCCATAATTAATAACTTATCCCCCAAAGGTTTGGATCCCATGGTGCCCTCCTGCAGTGTTAGGTCAGAGCCACCAGCCAGCCTGACTTAAAGAGCAGGTCCCAAGTGGCAACTACTTCGCATCCCATCAATTTGTAAAGACTAGTTACAAAAGCTCTCTGAGACCCCTGGCACTCTGTTATGGCTTGTCACCACAAATGTAGGGGAGATAGTGTATCCAGGGACACTGACTGCCCATGCCCCTGAGCTGACAGCAGAGGCTGTGGGACTGGGAAATCTTCCTGGGAAGATGGAGGGAAAGCGTGGCTTCTCTGAACATCATAGGTTCCCCTTCCCTCTTATCCCCTCCCCTCGGAGCTGTGCCAATAATCTCCACACTAGCAATGTCACCACTCTGACGCCCCTTGCCCCATCCCACCCCCACCTGTTCCTTGGAGAGCACACGTAAAGGCTTCTCCTTGATCTTTACCACCCGGAAGAACAGATGCCAACCTTTGCTAGGACCCAATGCATTCCCTGTGTGCGGGCTGAGGATCTGAAGATCTGAATCCTTTCCCCACCATGTCTCATTTTCCCTCCACCCTGGGGACTAGACCATGTAGACAGGACGGCTACATGGACCTGTTCCCTTGACAGGCTGGATGTGAGCTGGCCAAGGACCCAAGGCGTAGAGGGCTTGGAGGAGCCTGGCCGGTGGGCCTTAAGAAAGAAGCAAAGACTGTGCTCTGTTCAAGAACCACAAGACAAGAACAAAGGGAGAGCTTTCGGACTCCTTCTGATCCTGTTTCTGTTCTCTCTTGCTACAGTTGGACACTATCAGCAGAGATCTCAGTTCGGAAGGCTAGAGCTGAGGGTGGTGACCCAGTGCTGGACTGGGGGAGCAGGGAGTGTGAGGGGAGGTGGTGGTGGCTGATGGCGAGAACATGGATCCAAGCCCCTTGGCAACATTGAAAATATGGAGCCCCCTCTCTTCCTGGTCCCCCACGCTATCCTTCAGACAGCTGTGCTGTCCCGGGCTATTGGAGGCCCTGTAATATCAACTCAACAATGCATGTTCTAGAGCTACGGCTACCAGGACATCTACTACAGTGCATGCATTTAGTTCAGTCCCACAGAGACATACACTCTAAGAACAGGCAGGGGAGGTGTGAAATGTTTTACTGGACAACAGGTGTTTTGGAGTTGTAACTAATAAAAAAAAAAATTGAAAACGAAAGTGTACAAAAAAAGACATTTCTCGAGAGTTGGATATGAGTTTGTTTCTTGAACTGTTTCATCTGAACAAGCAAAAACATGCAAACCAGCTGGTACTAACAGGAAGCTGGACACCGAGAGAGGATTAATAGGTGTGGACAAACCTTCCCGCTGAGCGTGCTCAGAAGAGTGTTTGAGAGGAGGTGTGCAGATCCTAGTGTAAGAGAGGCGGGAAAGTATGCCTCAGAGACACTCTCTCACCGCAGCCCCAACCAAGCAAGAGAAAAGACAACAGAAACATGACTCTCGCACTCACCACCACCGTCAGGAGCTCATGTTACTAGACTGGAATAAAGCTGGCAAGTATAAAGTACAGTAAGGGGTCCTGGCTGGGGCCGGAGATGGGCCAGGGGGTGGGCGGGGGGCTCAGAAGCTCTTCGACTGATACACAGACCCACCCCGTGTTGTCACCCAGAAATAAAATAGCCTGCAAATCCGAACCACTTTTCCCTCACCTGAGTGTGTGTGGCGGGGGGAGTGGCTGACCAAACTGGATTTAGGTTTGGGTGGGACATGATGAGGCCATCAGAACTGAATGAATACGATCAAAATAAACAAACAAACTCTCGACTGAGCACAAGAAAAGATGACATTTCAGACTACTGGGTGAAGGTAAAAGAAAAGTGACCACTGATAGTGAAGTTATCTAGGAGTCGGCAGGGGCCTCCCCTGGCGGGGGTCACCTGAGCCCTGCTCACCTCAAGTCCTGCGTGAATTAGGAAAAGGCGGGCAGGCTGCCCCGAGGAGGTGGCTGAGGTGGGTGCAGAGCTCAAGGCCCCCCTGGACCTCCTACCCTGACACCATAGCCCTGACAGATTACCAGTTGCCAACCTGAGCAAAATCCAAGCTGCTTCCCCCCTTCCCCTCCACAGCCCTCAGCAGGTGCTTCCACCTTAGGAAGCTCCCCCAGTACGTCATAATATGGAAGGAAAAAAACCCCAAAGCTGTGGAACTAGACAAAAACGAAAGGCAAAATAGGGCCTTCCATAGGATGCCTGATTTCTAGGCCAAGCCGGACAGCCAGCCCCTGGGGAGTGGAGGCCACGTTTCCTACTGTTTTGAGTCCCCTGCCAGGTTCGGCAGAGTACCTAGCTCAAGGTCACTACTCCCACAGACTCCTTCCTATTAGACAAGGTGCCTGGACTTGTGATGCCCTCCAACAGCTGAGGCTCTTGCCTGGGGGCTAAAGGAGCATCCTTGTCCCCTGGGAAGGAGCTGGCATGGGGAGGGCAGGGTTGCAGGAGCAGGGGAAGGCTAAACCAGTGATCACCTGCTGGCCTAGGCTGATGCACAAACCCAAATGAGTCTGTGCAGCTCCTCTCACATATTTGCCAAAATGCCACCGAGGGGCCACTACAACAGGTAAATAATTGGCCATCTGGCCAGGCTTGGAGTCCAGGTTATTTTCTAGAGGGAGGGAGGGGGACAGTCCTTACAGGCCAAAATGCACTAAAAGAAAGGCAGAGATCTTCATTCCCCAAGCTTGTAACCCTGCTCCAGGTCCAAAGGAGGGCATGGGGGTGAGAGGCTGAGCTACTCTGGCTACACGGAGGCAGGTGTCTTCCGGCCCAGATGGTGTTCTGAATTTGGCAGGCACAAGCTAGTCGTTGCCCTGGGGCTCGCCCCCAGTCCCTGACCCCCAGGCAGCACTGGGGGGTGCCCTGCAGCTTCCCAGCCGGGCCTGCACCCCTGGGGCCAGGCACCTCGGAGTTGAGGATTTACTCCTTACACTAATCTAGGCTGGTGTGGGGCAGGTGGTCTGGGAGCACACTCCTGAATAGAATTCACTAACAGTGCAGCGATGAGCATGGCTGACCTCGAATGGCCCCTGGGAGACTTGGCTCCCGATGGAAATGGCTACAAATAAAACACCACTGATCCTGGAAAAAAAAGTGTGGTTGGAGATGGCTCTGGAGTTTGGGGTTAGGAGTTAGGGGGGGATGGGTGGGACTCCTGCCTGGTTCTGGGGGTCCGTGAGAAGGTAGGGGTGGCGGGGGGGGGGCGGTGCACAGACCATGGGGAGACCGCTCTCAGACTCTCAAAGAACCCCATGCTGCCCTTTAAACTTGCCATGAAGTCAAGGAGAACGGGGGTGGGGAGAGAGGCAGGGTTAATTTCGGGTTAAAGTTTAGTTTCATAATCCAAGTTATAATAAGAAAGAAACTGAACGGAGAAAACAACCAACAACACTCAAAAATCTCGAGTTTTCTTTTTGTCGTCCCCCCCCACCAGGCACAGGTAGGACAGAGGCTCGTTTTGTAACGATACCAAAAAGCACTCAAGTTAAAAAACCAAACAGAGCAGGGAAACAACCAGGCAGCAGCGCGCCCCGCCCCCAGGGCAGGGGCATCAGGGGACACCGGCCGGAGGGCAGGTGGGGGCAGCGGGAGGCTGAGCTCGGGCGCCCAGCTCTTTGGCTACCTGGCCCTCGGCAGCCCCCAGAGGATTCCTGGCCCCTCCAAACAAATCCCCAGTGGGTGATTCCAGGGAGTGGATCCTTTGTAGCTCGAGGCAGTGCCAGTTTGCATGGAACGGAGTTTTACTGATGATTCTAAAGGGCCTCACTGTGCCAGTCTCTTATCACTGAGGGTTTGGGTTTTTGGCATTTGCCCTCTGGGCTTTTAATGCCCCATTTCCTGGTACCCCCCAGCACCTCCCTCCCCCTGCCCTCCTTAGAGCCCTGTCAAACTGCTTCCCTGGGTGCTCCAGTGCCCTGTCTGTGGGGGGATTGGGGGGTGGGGAGCTGCAAGCCATGGCTAGTCTAGGAGGAGCCAGGACCTCTTGGCAGCTGGGGCATGGAAGCCAGGAGGCCTCACTGGGAGCCCAGCACACAGCAGAAGCCTCACTTGCTCAGGAAGGCGGGGAGCATCTGGGGGAGAGGGGCATAAGGTTGTTCTGGGGCCTGGTATCCTGGACATACCCCATCTCCAACCTGGCCCCATAGTGCTATTGGGAAAATGAGCCCAGCCCCACAATGCTCACCTGAGGGGCTCTAGACCTCCTAAAAGGTTGGGTTTGGAGACCAAAGGACCAGGGCAATTTTGTGGGAGGGAAAACCCCAGTTCCCTTGGCAGGGTTAGGGTTAGGTCCAGGAACTCTCTGGTCTCTGCTCTGAGGAGTCTGGGATGTGACAGGGGCTTCAGGAAATCACTCCATTTCCCTGAGCTTGGGACTGGCCCTGTATCTGGCCTTGGCCTTCGGAGACTGGGGTTTGGCCACCTGCCAGGTGTGGTGGGGGGTGGTAGGGGGCAGCAGCGGGCCAGGGGCTCTGAGCCTCCCTCTTACAACCTGGTGCTTCGCTCTTGGGAACGAAGCCTTGTGAAGCAGTGAAAGCCGAAGGGGAAATGACCACAGGTGTCCTGCAGCCAGCTGTCTGGTGAAGGGGTCATCCAAAGACAAAAACAAGTTCACTGGTCTTTTTTTCAAGGAGAGAATAGTAGTCTACCTTTGGTTTGCAGTCCTGTGACTGACCCCCGCTGGGAGCTGCCCCGGGTGGCAGGGCCTCGCCTGCGCCCCCCTGTCCCCACCCTCTGGGCTGTGACAATAGTGGACAGACGCAGCCACACAGATCCAACAGGGCCTTTACCTTCCCCTGCACACTGGGGCATGCCTGGGAGCGCCTGTCCCGTACACCTCCCTACCTGATCCTCTTGCCGCTGCCACCGCCGCTGCCGCCACTGGTCCGTAAGCCGCTGCTGGGAAGCCTGGCGGGGAGAGAGGAGCTGGAGTGAGGGTCAGACCCTGGAAGGGCCCCCCCCCCTTGCACAGCCTGGGCTCACAGGCCGTGCTCCACCCCCTTCAGAGGATGGGGATGACAAGGGATCTCCTTGGAGCAGCTTTTGGGAGGGACACAGGTCAGTGGCTCTCAGGCTTCTGGAAGGCACACAGAAATAATGTAAGAGGATTAGGAGGCTCTTCTCTTGGGAGCAGGGCGGGGTCCCTGTTGTCCCTGTAATGACTGGGGGGGGGGGCAGGCCCCCAGAGTGTGTTCTAGGGCAGGGCCAGCATGGCCCAGGGGTCCCTGGAGCAGTTGGCCCTGAGCCTCTGGGCAGCACAGGCACATGCACCAGGAGGTGGCTGACCTCCAGCTGCTCTCCTAAGGCTCTGCTGGTCTGCTCGGCTTAGCTGTGGACTCTAGCAGCGTCCCAGCCCCAGGCTGGAGGGCAAGGTGTGCTGGGAGGCCCGGCTGACTGCCTGCGTACACCTGTGGGAGGCAGTTGTGGGAGGGAGCGGGCGGCCGCAGGGACCCATGTGGGGTGAGCCCTGTGGCTCTGTCTCTCAGTTTCAACCTCCTGGGGCACATTATGGGGATTTCGATCTGGCTTTCCCGTCCGAGCTCCACATCCTGATCAGGTCGCAGGTCGGCAGTGAAGGGTCTCCTAAGGATCCCCATCAAGCGTTTGCCTATTTACCCCCCAGGCAGCAAGGCTGTCCCAGAAATGGGACTGAAGGCCAGAAGGGACAAAGTGACCAGTGTGGCTGCAGAACACCCAGGGGAAGGGAGAGGTGGGCGGGTCCCCTCCCGTGGGCTTCTCTGGGCCACTGAATGATGCGCACACAGCACGGGGATGCACACAGATACACGCACGCGCACGCAGAACGCACACCGTCTGCCATCCAGGCAGACTTTTCGAGGCCTGATTTCAACTGTTGGGGGTCTGATTTCAAGACCCGTTTCCAAAGACTGTGGTTTTCAATGATGTGTCAGAAGCCAGCAGCAAACAACAAATAGCTGGCCCGCTGCTCAGCTTTAGCCACGGGGCCTTCCAAATACAGAACCGCTACAGGACAGAGTGGGCAGCGCGTGCACCGTGGAGAGCAGGGAGCAGGAGGGAGAGGAGAGAAACAGAGCCACCCCCAAACACAGCCAACTAGAAGCCCACTAAACTCTAAGACTATTGTCCTAGCTACATGGATCTACTGGGGAGGAAAAGAAGTTCAAAAGACAACAAGCTACTCTAAAAAGGTCAAGCTAAGCTACTTAAAATGTCAATGAAAAAAAAAGACATACTTGCATTTAAATATGGTAATAGGGCTGTTGAAAGGGGAAAAAGAAAGATCCAGGTGAAATGAGGGTACAAGGTCACCCCTGGCTGCTGGAATGGGTCTCAGGGCTCCCATGAAGGCCACACACACCTGCCTGGAGGCTGCTCCCCCACTCCCCGCCCATGGACCCCTGGCTGCCGGAAACCAACGGAGGCACTCCCCCCACCAAGTCCTTTCCCCATCTCTTCCAAGCAGGATCTAGAGTTCTGGAGATGTGGGTGGTGGCAGAAAGTGCTGAAGGAAAATAAGGAAGAAGTCCAGTTATTTCTCCTTATCCCAACCTCCAGCACACAGCCCCCCACCCCGCTGCCCTGCTGCAGGAGCACTCAAGCAGGGCTCAGGAGACCCTGAAGGAGAAGGTCAAGTTATTCTTTTTGCACTCCTCATCGGTACTTGAAACAGAAGGTTTCCCTGGAAGCATGAAAAAGTGTGGTGGGGGGAGGGGGAGAAAGGCTGGGTGGGGGGGCGAGTTTAGTCAATAAAAGGACATTTAACAAAAGGCCTATTTTCTGGAGTACAGTGCATTTTTGACAAAAAAAAAAAAAAAAAAGTCTGAGAGAAAGAGGAAGAAAAAAAACTTATCCAAGAAAGGAAATCCATTATCCTTAATCTCAGATAAAGGTTTCTGCTGGAGACTGAGCATCAGACACCGCTAAGGGCTGGAATTTCATCTCAACCATCATGCAGCGCTAAGCAGACTGACAGGTGTGAGAAGAGGGCAGAGGAGAGCTCAGTCTCCCCCCAATACTGGAGAGAGGCACCCATAGCCCTCATAGTGACTGCATTTGAGACACCAGGGCCACAGTCCCAGGACCTAGCCCAGCTCTGCGGGACTCTGTCCTGGACTACTTCCGCAGCTCCCTGCCAACCCCCTCCTGTCCTGCTAGGCCATTCAGCTGCACTGATCACCCCAAATATATTCTTCAGATGAGGGATCCCTGGGTGGCGCAGTGGTTTAGCGCCTGCCTTTGGCCCAGGGCACGATCCTGGAGACCCAGGATCGAATCCCACATCGGGCTTCCTGTGCATGGAGCCTGCTTCTCCCTCTGCTTATGTCTCTGCCTCTCTCTCTCTCTCTGTGTGACTATCATAAATAAATAAAAAAAAAATTAAAAAAATATTCTTCAGATGACCTGGTGGATAAACCTGATGCCATTACCAGGGAGCCCCACAGGCTGTCCTAGGTGGCTGGGCTTGTGGGGCATGGGCAAACACAGATCCAGGAAAGGTGCGTGCATGCGTGCGTGTGTGTGTGTGTTGGGGTGAGGTTGCCCCAGCCAGGGGCTGTCAGAGGCCAAAGAAGCATCATGACCCTGACCTAAAGCTATCCTGATGGAGAAGAGCCTGTCTCTAGAATGGCAGGAGGCCCCAATACAGGGACCCTGGTGGAAAGGACCCCTCCTGGGCTAGACCTGAAAAAGCTGAGGGTGCAGAGAGGAGAAACCTTCCAGCCTTGCCTTGTGGTCCTGTTTTCAGCATTTCTCCCCAGGCTGAGGAGCCAGGGGTCACCTATGATGGCCTAGCTGTCTGGGAAACCTCTCATTTTATTTTTGAAGGGAGAGGGGGTCTGGGCTGCCAAAGAGAGAGATGCCCCAGCTGGGGGTACTCAGGGGAAGACCTTGGGGAATTAGGCAGAAGGTCTGACAGGGCTCAGGCTCCTCGCTGGGGGCAGAGCCTCTGGTTCATGGCTGCCCAGCACCCCACTCACTGCCCAGAATAGATGAGCATCTCCTCTCTGCTACCAGGAATGTGTGGATTTAAGGCCCTCCTGAATACAGCCTGCCTGGCCAATGCATGAACCAGGCTTCTTGTGAGGCAGGTGAACATAAATCTTGGGTTCAAATCCTGGCTCAGCCATTTACTAGCTGTGTGACTTTGGGCAAATTGCTTAACCTTTCTGTGCCTTGATATCTCCATCTGTAAAGGAGATGATATTAGTGCAGGATTAATATACACAAAATGCTCAGATGAATACTGGCCAGGGAGTAAGCTTACATGAATATTAGGTGTCATTTTGATGAAGCCTATCCAGCCATCAGCCTTGCCTTTAAGACAGGACTCCCCCACGTGGAGGATGGCTCCACTTTCCCCACGATGGCCCAAATGGTCAGAAAGTCAGAAGCACACAGGAGGCTGGGATTCTTTACCCATAACGGTGGCCTGTAATCCTTCATGTTGTCCTGGCTTCATAACGTCATTTTAGTGGAGCTGAATTTCCCTGGCTCAAGATTAGAGGATGCGTACTGTTTAGCTCGGACAACGTCTGGACCAAGTGGGCTGGCATGACCCTCCTACTCTAATACTTCCTGTTTCTTAGTAGTAAATCAGGCAGAAAAGAAAAAATGTTTTGCTGATAAAATCTCAGGGCCTGGGGGCTGAGGTTGCCCACCTGGGAACTTAGGTGTTAGGAATGTGGTCTGCTCCTCCAGTTAGAGAAACCTGCATTCAAAAAGAGGGTGCTTGCAAACAAAAGAGTAGTGCTGACAGGGGCACCTGGGTGCTTTGTGGTTGAGCGTCTGCCTTTGGCTTAGGTTGTGATTCCTGTGTCCTGGACTCAGTCCCATATCGGGCTCCCTACAGGGAGCCTGCTTCTCCCTCTGCCTATGTCTCTGCTTCTCTCTCTCTGTGTCTCTCATGAATAAATAAAATCTTAAAAAAAAAAAAGGAATACTGCGGATGGTAGAACTCCAGGCATGGGCAGGTGCCATGCCTTATTTAATGGCAGTCAAACCCAAAGACCCAGTCTTGCTAGTCTGAAGCTCCTCTGCCCCTCGGATGGGGTAAAAGAAGAATCACTGTGCTTGGTATCAAAGCCCAGCCTCCGACCCCTGCTACCCTAGGCTTGCTGTGTAACTTGGGCACAGTGCCTCATTTCTTTGGGCCCTGAGTAACCAACTCATGTCTACTGCAAGGAGGTGAGGTCAGATGGCCTCTCAAGTTCCCTCACCTCTGACCCTGCATGATCCTGCCTTCCAGATGTAAAAGGATGACAAATCTAAGTCTCTGTCACCAGAAAGTGGTGCCTCTGGGGTTGGTATGGACACACCTCCGGGGTTAGTAACTCATCTAAGTAAAAGCTGTCACCGTTCCACTGACAGTGAATGAGACGCTTTTCTGGACTTCTCAGAGCTGTGAGAAACTTGATGGCAAATTTGAAGTCAATGGCACTTCTGATTTTTTTTTTGGGGGGGGGGGGACTATGTGACACCACACCTACTTTTTTACTGCTTCTGTGGCACTTATTTATTTCTGCCTCACCTAAGCAGTTATTTTTATGTGCACATCTTATTTCTCTTGCTAGGTGACAAATTCTTCTAGGGCAGGGACTGAGGCACACGTCCCACTTAAGGCCTAGTGCAGAGGCTGCCCCAAAGAAGATCCTTGTGGAGCATTAGGATGCCCTGAAGAGGTGCGTGAGAGCCAGAGCTGTGAGTCACTGCCCTGGGTGAACTACAGCTGAATGGCAGTGCCACCGGCACATGTAGCTGCCTCTCCTCATGTGGTCCTCCAACCCCAGGGCTGACAAATCAAATGCCCACAGGAGAGTAATTAACCAGCAGAAGGGGCTGGGCGACAGCCACCAGGAGCGCCTTGCTCTGTCTCCCGTGCTGGCCCATACCCTGCTGCTCACTGGACCACCCAGCAGGCCTTAACAGACACGGAAGCCTGGGTCCTA